GATCATCTTCCTGCGGGCCGCCGGGCGCGTGCGTGCGTGCGTGCGTGCGCGCGCGCCTGGGTGCAAACGGCCCTTGTGATCCACGCTCTGCTCTGAACTGCCTTGCATTGGAACAACAAGAACAAGAAGGAAGGTTAAGTTTGCGGGGGGCGGAGGGGGACCACATGTATGCTTTTGATTTCAAGGAAAAAAAGTGCTTTTCTTAGCAGCTGTGGAGCAAATTTGGCTGCTGCCAACCCATCTCTCTAACCAGATATGAGCCCAGCGGATCCCAGTTATATCCCAGGAAATGGCCAGGGTGCGGCGAACGCGTAGTGCAGGAAAGGTCTTAGAGGAGAAGCGAGCGCTTTGGAGGAGGGGGCTGCGGGGGAGCGCGGCTGTGCAGCCCGAGCCCCCGGCGGAGCAGGTTTGCTGCGCGGCCGCCCCGTCCGCCTCGGGCATCGATTTAAAAAACAACCCCCCGAGCATTTTGGAAGTGCCGTAGCCCTCCAAGCTGTGCCCTCCCAAACTTGTTCCTTTGGTTTTTGCCCCTTTTTCCTCGCACAGCTGTTTTCCGCCGTGCGCGTGAAGGGCTTTAGCTGAGCCGCGCCGTGCCTCGTCGCCTGCCTCGGGGGGCCGGGAAGGGCAGAGGGAGCCGGGAGGGAGCCGGGAGGCTTCGAGCTGGGAGGCTGCGGGCGGAAAACGAGGGTGTTCCCTCGGGGCTAGGAACAGCCGTTTCCAGCCGCCCGGATTTTGAGGCAGAGGGATGGCAAAGGCGAAGCCGCCTGCCTCTGCTCGCCGGCCAGGGGCTTGGTTTGCGCCGGGCAGGGAGAGGGAAAGTGCTTGCAGGGTCTTCAGCGACGTGGGAAACTACAGAAAAAGGCAAGCACGCATCTCTTTGGCCATGCAGGATGGCATTATTAATTTTTAGTGCTAGCGTTCGCCCTGCGTCAGGTGCTCTGCAGCGCTTTCGAATGGTAGCACTGACCACGGAAGGAGGAAAACGGCGAAGCGTCGAGCTGCATCTGGGCGAGCGAGGTGATTTGCCTTCAGACGCGCTCCCTCTGCGCTGCAGGGAGCAGCAGAATAACAAGCCAAGCCAGTTGTCTGGCTGGATCCTTCTCCTAGTCATAAATGCTCCACGTGACATCCTTAATATCTACTCTGAGCAGCGTCACTTTGCCTTTCTAAAGGTCTATCTGGGGCAGGGCAACACACAGTAAACTCCGTGAAGTCTAGTTTTCTACCTGCAACAGAGAAAAGCAATGGGAACAGCGAGCTAAGAGTTAGGAAGCGGTTAGGGCCGACACCATAAGATGGAAGGAAACTATAGGAGCACATGCTATGTGTGATTCAAAAAGTAAATATTCATTTTACACGGGCTTGGAGCTGTACGAAAGGCCAAAGCCAGGCAAATGCAAGACCAGCTCTACCCACAAATTACAAAAATTAGGAAGACTAAATGCATGCGCAGTCCCTGAGCCCATCCAAGGGATGGCTGAATACGGGCAGCAATATTGGCACAGTGCTCAAATCCCGAGTGACCCCGTGAAAGCATCGCGGCACCAGAAGGAACTGCAGAACATCGGCCCTGTTTTAGCACCACGAAGGGCTGCTTTTCAAAGGGAAAAAATGAAGGGAGAAAGAGGAAAGGGAATGTTGTGGCAATAATGAGCGTTGTTAAAGGACTGCAAACAATTTACAGCTTTAAATTCAGTCTGCAGCCAGGGGCACGCAGCCCCTGCCGGGAGCGCCGGCGGGAAGAGCGCTTCCCCGAGAACGAGCTGGATGAGCGGATCCCATGTGGAGGTTCCTGCGGACTCGGAGATCCTTCCCCGAGAGAAAGGTCCCGCGCTGACGTTCGGGGCGGGTGCTGCAGCCCCGTTCCCGCCGGAGCGCCGGCCCGGGGGGGCCCGGACCCGCTCCCGGG